ATTATAGGAAGTGGACACATACTAGGACAGACATCCCCATATCTCTTCCTTTTCCTGTCTCAGCTTCCCCCAGAGTGTCTCTGCTCTTTCTCTTTCATCCTGGAGTTCTGTTGGACCATGGTGAGTCCATTAGGCCAGCATACTGTGTTCTTTCCTCCATGATACGTCTTGAAGTCCATCTCTGCTTCACCAAATATTGGTCATAAGGGCATTCCTTGCTCTTCTGCCCTCAGGTCATTATAGTTCTGAGTCACATTGAGTACTGTGGAGAAAGCCCTGCTGGTCTGGCCAATGCAAAGTTAGAACCCTTTGGAACCACAGCCTAGTGTCTCTTTGGGACACCTCAGAGGACCCACCCCAAAGCCCTTCAGGAGTCTGTACTGATTTGGCATGTCCCAGTTTCTGTCACTGTTGGCATTTTTGCCCCATTCCCATGTTGTTAGTTGCCGTTAGTTGATTCTGATTCATGGTGTCTCCACGTATACAGAGTAGAACTGTTCCATGGGACTTTCAAGGCTGTGAAACTTTTGGAAGCAGGTCATCAGGCCTGTCTTCCAAGATGCCTTTGGTGGGTTTGAACTGCCAACCTTTAGGGTAGCAGTGGAGTGCTTAACTATTTGCACCACCCAGGGGCTCTCCTGTCCACATACTCCTGTACTATTAACTGCGGAATGCTATTCTGATCAAGCTTCTCCTCTCTTAAATGACTAAAATACATTTATTTTAAAAGGAAACTTTCTCCACTGGAAAACCCATTTCACTAGCCACAAAATGGAACATATGGTAGTTAAGGTTGTTTTCAACTTGGCTGGGCCTGGTTGAGTAGCTGGGCAGCTGGTGGTAGTTATTCCCCATGATGAGACTGACAGTCAACTGGTGGGATTGCCAGTTGATTCCAGCATGGTGGGATCTTCCATAGGCAGTTAAGTAACTGCTTTAGCGATGTGGTCTGCTCCCACTATATAAGAAGCAGCTTTGGGAATAGTCTCTAGCTTATGGCACATTTAAACCCTGCATGTAGCTGAGTCGTTGTTCAGCAGCCTGCCATGCTCTGCCGACCTTGGACTTTTGATGGACTTGAATCAATGGCCTGGCATGTGGTTTAGTAATATCAGAACTAAAGCTTAAGGGAGATCATACATCTCCCCGTGACAG